TACTTCACAGAGTAGCCAGAAGCCTGAATTTTCATTGCAAGGGATATATATGTCAATGAGTACAATTTGATGCTTTTCCAGTAAAAGAATGAACACCGAGGAATGAAGTCATAAGGATGACCGAATAACATATTGACAATAGTTCAACGGCATGGGTACAATAAAGTGAAAGTTACCGTCCATGAAATAAACCCCAGCTCTGTATGAAATATCCCTTCACTTTTCTCATGCTTTCATATATTTATAACTTAATTTAAGTTTACAAATAATAAGCTCTACAGTTTAGCTTTTTACAAGTTCTGGCTTATTCTGGGAGCATAGAGAAATGACATCCATTGTCTTTTATATACAAAGTTGAGTAAACAAATGTAACATTTTGACATGCTTAATGTGTATGCGTTATAGACGGATTAACTTTCATTTGTGTAATCAACAGTGTCGTATATTTTTTATTTATTTAAGTACAAGTATTGTTCCAATAGTGTTTACAACATTTTGTTCTATTTAATATTTATAGATGTTATAAAACAATAAAAGAAGAAGAGTATTGCAAAGAAAAGTAAAGTGAGAGAATTCTTATTATTTTGGGATGAATTACAAAGGAATAAAACATCTCTTTATAAGGGAAAAGTGACTTAGCCACAAAGTAACAAACTCTAAAATCTCTCCAAATGATAGACATTCACCATAAATAAAATACTATTTATAACACTCCCCTTAAATGTCTATCCAACAGATAATGTGCCCCATTAAAATCTTAACTAAAATAAAACCCAGTGGCAAAAAATTCTACTGAAGGAAAAAGAGTATACATATATAACAATACGCCATATGGTTGCCTCGTTAAAAACCTTGCAAGGAAAACTCAGTGGGACAAAACCTTGTGAGGAAAAAAGAGTACAACGTGTATTTACTCCCCATGATGAGACAATCAATTCACATCTTTGAGCCTTCACATTCCAATCTTGTGCACCATCTTCAAAAGATCGTTGGTAGAGATTTGATAAATAAATCGGTCATTTTAGCTTGAATGGATATATTGCACCTTGAAATCATCATTCTTGATAGATATGTAATGTCTTCATGTAATATCGTGGAATGGCCTTTTCAATATCTCCATAGAGGTAAAAATTCTCGTTATCATATTACCATGCTTATAGATATAGCAAGATACATATGTGCACAAATTGCACTTAGGATATGGTACTTCAGGACCAAGAATTGTATATGCTTTAAGCGATTTAATTCCTTCAGGGATTGTCGTATAAGTTAAGTCATATAAGGCATATAAATAGACTTTAGATACATATCAAGTTTTCATATTATGCTAGATATATAAGATAGATAAAAGTGATTGCACACACCATTGACTTTATACCTTCAAATGTTTGAATTGCATGTCCAAAACTACATGTCTTTCATATGAAACCAATTCTACTTGAATTGTTTCTCCAGACTTAAGATCCTCATATATATATTTAGCGTTATCATAGATGCAGTCAACGAATATTTTATATTTGTTTCTACCTCCTTTTTTTTCATAAAGACATAACATAGAGACCTTTTCATTTATATTTTAGGTAGTTGAACCTCTCCTGAGATTTTATGAATTGTTATGTCATGTGATCTTCTAGATCACTTGCTTCCTTATTATGATCATTTTGATCATTTGCTCATCTTTTTTATCAAGAATTTTATTTGAAATCGATTTGTCTATACGCTTTAAGCGTACCATAGGTTTTGTCCTTCTAGGACTTATTCTAATAGGAGCATTTGCAGTGAGAATATAGTTACTTTCTTTGGGTCAGCAAATGCGTCTGGCATGCTTTGCAATATATTACAGATAAATTATCTTTTTATGAACTTCAAATTCATATTATCTTATTCGAGGATCTAGATGTACAAATAATAATTCATTCCACATAACTTTTTCTCCACTGTTTATCTTGCTGCACTTGGTGGAAAAGGCTTTTGCACGAATCTTTTGGAATCTAACCCTTTCAACACTGGTGGTGCCCCCGGGATCTAATCGACCCTAGAGTTATACATTTCCACCTTTTTATTGTTTGCTTCGATCTGTTTTGTGAGTTCCTCGAGTATCTTAGCAATTTTGGAATTAGTCCCCGACTCTTGCTCATTTGATCTTATTATTGCTGGCTCCGTTCTGTGGGTGATTTCTCGGGGTAGACTGGGTTCCGGCCTTCTTGGTACTTGGGTTTGACTTTGCAACTGAGCTATCGCTACCTGTTGAGCTTGCAACATTCCGAAAATCATACGCAAGCTGATTCCGTTTTCTAACGTTATGGGTGTCTCGAGCTGCAGATCGTTGGTTTGTCTCAATGGCCATATGCGAATTAACGTCTGATGGTACTTCGACTCGAGCTCCGATGGCGTCGACAAGCGGCATTCCGGCCCCGGGCGTCAAGTTGTTGTTCTCACCTTGGAGGCCAGCTTCGTTATCGATAGGTAAGGCCATTTAATTTGAGAGCTCGTCGTTGCTAATCCGAAATCAAAGGCACTTCCAAAAATAAGCGTAAAATGGTGTGTTTTTGAAGATTCGTATCAAATATTCACTATTATCCTTAGCCCCACGGTGGGCGCCAAACTGTTTACCCGAAAAACGGATAGAGTTGAATTTGTACGTAGTTCTAAGGGTATGTGTTATAACTTGATACAAATCGTAAGAGTAAATAGAAATATCAAATATTGATTGTAAAGAATGAAAGATAAGCAAAGTTAAAAAGAAGATGATTTATGGATTAAGCAAGATGAATCAATCTATGAAGCTAAAAAAGGATAATTCTTCAATATGGAATTGTATGATATCTGAGTTACAATGTATGCCAAAACTTGATGCTTTTACACAAATATAGTCATCTCTTTTATAGTGGGGGATCCTACTTTAGATATAATTAAAAATACATAGTGGGAAACCCATGACAAATCAGTTTTTCCCTAATTCCAGCCGAGATTATGTCCCTTAGTGTGGTTGCAACGGCTCTTGTCTATGAGCTCGATCTTGATCGGACTCAGCATTGGTCGGTATTGGTCGGTTTCCAGTTTTAGAGCTCGATGCGGGTTTGAGGTCGATGCCGACTCGGGGTCCGGTAATGACTTGGGCTCGATATCGGTTGGCCTCTGACCCTTAAGCTCGATTCCATCACATCTCATCATAGTTCGATTCGGACCCGAGCTCGATAATGACTTCGAGCTCGGTATTTGACCTATCCTTGAAATTTGAAGCTCGTTTGTGCCTTCTTCGGATCCCATCTCGATATTATGAAGACTTTCTTTGATCCATTATGTTCCATCTCGATCAGTCGTACGAAGGCCGAAATCAGTTTCGGCCGTATACACTTCCTATGGTTCAACATTATACAGAAAAGAAAACACCAAGAATAATTTTCTGACATCTTTTGTCAAATTGGCACGTATTTTATGTAAAAATTGCACAGGGCGCCCTATTTGGTCGCCCTCATTTAACCTATACCCATATTTTTAAAATTCTTTAACCTATATCCTAATTTTGACAACTTCAGACGCCTCATCTTCTTTCTCCTGACCTATGCGTTCCTTTCTTCCTCTTCTTCTTTTCTCTCTCAAGCACATGAGACTTTGCATAAGTATTACTGATTGGATGTGTAAAGTTTTTATTAAATCTTATCAACTACAATATTCTATGTTGAAGGACGAGTAAATAAAACTCCACAAGCTAGTTAAAGTAGGTGTGATTTGTGTCTTTCCGTGATCCATCCTTCTTAAACATACAACAGCAACTGACTATTACATGTCCTCTCTTCCAAGTTACCTGCCACAAGAATGACACATGCAAGTGAAATTTATTATACACAATAGTTGCTCTCGCGATCTCTTGAAATTAGCTTACCCCTTACTTTATGATATCATCCGCAGGAAAAACGACAGAAAAGGGCTGCAGAACTGAAAAATAAAATATACAAAAAATAACTTCAGAACATTATCAAAAAAATCAGTTAAAACTTCAACACAATTTGGTTTAAGTTATATTTTAAAGCCATCTAACTTCAAAGAAAGGCAAAACACAACTTCAGCTCTAAGACTACCAAAGTTTAACAAATATAAAACAAAAACTTCAGCTCCTAGAATGCTAAAGTTCAACAATTACAAAACAAAACTCCAGCTCCTAGAATGCTGAAGTTCAACAATTACAAAACAAAAATCCAGCTCCTAGAATGCTGAAGTTCAGCAATTACAAAATAAAACTTCAGCTAAAGTTCAGCAATTACAAAACAAAAACTTCAACCAAAACATGTTGTAGTTTTATTGAACTGAAGTTTGTCATTGCACTATGAACTGAAATTTGCGTGATTGCCTTTGCAAGTCAGGCCAAACTTCAGGCAAAAATATCTTAAATTTTGCTTTGATAAGGCTACACTTCAGGCAAAACATGCTGAAGTTCAAACTTCAGACATAAATTTTTGCTACTTCAGACCTGTATGTCTGAAGTTACCCGAAAAGTGGGTACGCTTTGCAATTTTTTTGCAAAGCGGTTATAAGTTAAAATGTGACCCAAAAACTGGATATAGATGCAAATCCCCCGTATTATATTCAATCATATACCGTTGTGATTTGAGACAATACGTATATATGAGCGCACAGATGAAATGTCAGTGGAGGTCTAAATATAGGCTCCATCATTTGATGACTACATATGTACCGTTAACTGGAACAGAAGTTGAAGAGACTACCGTTCAACAAAGAGTTATATCTGAAAAACTTCCTAGGGTTCAACATTATACAGAAAATAAAACACCAAGAATAATTTTCGACATCTTTTGTCAAATTAGCAGTGTCACCACTGTGCCTACTATCCAGTGGCACGTATTTTATTCGATCATATACAGTTGTGATTTGAGACAAAATACGTATATATGAGCGCACAGATGAAATATCAGTGNGCAAAAGGAAAAAAGAAATTCTGAACATGCAGAGTTGCTAATCAACAAAAAGTAAGGAGCACGATGACTAAATCCCAGCTAACCCACAGCCAAAATAGAGGAGAGCAAGTGAAAGAGGAAGTTTGAACATGCTAAAATAACATACCTCATTAGGCCTCTTGGTGGATCTTTTAACTTATCAGGATTATCTTGGGCAATGCCATCAGTTAAATACCTATTAGAATTTCCTTGTGGTAAAGAGTCAGCAAGTTCTTTAAGGCCCTGTAACAAAGTTATGGGACATCAATGAAATGCCTGCAACTGTAACCCGACTGATGAAACCACCATGTCAATGATTAGACGTAAAGAAACAGAGAATAAAAGCCAATAGGGAATGTGCAGTTCAGTTAACGAAGGGAGGCATCGTATTTGTGTTAATCAATATTTTCCAATCGGAGCTCGGGAATGGTAAAACCATACTTGACCAAACAGTGTATCAGACATGCAAAAATTGCCATTGTATTCACGACCAAAGCATGTATTAGACAGTTCTTCAAAATTATTTTAACATAAATGAATCATGTCAATTAGAAATATCAATATGGGCAACGGCATCCCAAAGTAGTTCATATATTACAACCAATAAACAATGTCGTTTAAAATTTTAGCAATTTTTTGATTTTGACATTATTCTGGTGTTCCTAGATTTTTGACTAAAAAACTCTCCTTTATGTAGGAGCCAAAATCCAATGAGCATTTTGGAACTAAAAAGAAAATAATGCACACTATCACAGGTCAACTTCATGCATATGGCTGATATTATGACAAAATACTTGAATAAAGACATTAAATTGAAGTTAGCAAAAGTACCATGAGACTAGGTGTTGAGTTGCCCACAATTTTAAGTTGTTCCTGCAGGCATTAAATGCAGGTTAAGAGACAAGCATCTAATAAGATTAAACAAAATGGTCTGTGAAGGATAAAATAAGCAAAACAAGAAAAGATGATACAAAGATAGTCAGCTCCAAGGTGATACATACTCACACAAAAAAAAACACATACACACACGCCCGTGTAAATTAAGTTGAATAATAATAAGAGTTAAATACATTAAAACCCTGTATTATGACCGAAAACGAAGACACCCCTGTATTTTAAAACCAAACACTTAATACCCCTGTATTATAAAAATCCTACACAAATACTAACTCCTTTAAGAATCCATTTTCTTTTTTTATTTCTTTCATATAACAGTAATACATTGACAAATTACCCTTGCTTCACATCAATTTATACTCCTGTAACAGAACTGCTTCCCAGCAAAATCCTTAGAGCATTCTTTTCCTCTTCTATTTTCATGTATTGTTATGGGAAGGCAATGAAGAAATTCTAAACTTGACGGTTCTTCAGCGTATTGATCCTTTCATTGAAGAAAATCTTATCACTGCTGCTCATGTTACCTTTTAAGAATATACCGATAACAGCCAATGGGTAATTCAATTTCCTGAATTTATTTATTTATTTATAATTTTGCTCTTTCCATTAATATAATTTATAATTGAATTGTTATGCAGAGTCAGAAGGATGTGGAAGGATCTCTATTTGTTTTCAACAGGTGAGTATTAAACAACTCACTTTAAGGGAATGTTTGTTTATTTAATTTTGAGTTCTGTACTTTGTTTTTTGTGATGATTAACTTTTAGCGGGTGTTACAGGAGTGCTCAACCGCGATTTCAGTTTATTGTTATGAACCGCAGAAATACAGGTCAATTGCTCTGTTTCCGAATAGTGATTCTAAATACAATTACTTTCCACTTGCCTTTAGTGTTTGGTTGATTTGAACGTATCTTGCTTTTTTGCTGTTGAAAAATGTTCGTAAAGTTGAAGCTTATACATGATTGATTATTTGTTGTAGAGATCCCGGAATTATAATGATACAATTTATAAATGATTGAGTATTTGATTCTAGTGTTATGCACTGAGCGTATTTGAGATAAACATAGGGTATCTACGGCTTAGTTTAGTCATTTTCGTATATTGCTTTAATGACGTTAAGTAGTTTTAGGGTTTTTATAATACTGGGGTATTAAGTGTTTGGTTTCAACTTTCAAATACAGGGGGTGTCTCCGATTACAAGTCATAATACAGGGGGGTGTAACGTATTTAACTCTAATAATAACTATAATTGCAGACAATTAGATGGAATGAAGTGAAATAATTATTGCTTAATCCGGCCTCTTCTGGACAGAGCCAATTGGTGATGAGACAGACGCCTTCACACCTTGGCGATTGAACTGAACTGCAGCAAGGTGAAGCACTCAGACTCTTTTGCACCTACTAGGTGCCACCTAGCTTTATCCTGTCCTATGTACTGTGCTGAAGATGATTAATGCTGAAAGTGGCTACAACCAGAGATCTTTGTGTGGTAATTGCTAGCACAATCTTAAAAATAGAACACTAGAGAGACTCGAAAAGTTTAATAGGTTTGGTGTTCCTTCTCCTGCTAAAGCAGATTCAAGAAAAGTAGGAACGTTAAGACATCTTTCCAGACAGTATGCCCCCAAATGGAAGAAGGTCCTTTTCTTTCTATTATGCGACGAGGTTGAAATCAACCAAAACGACCTAGTATGTTAATGTCTTTACTTGACATGTTGCATTTGCTAGGCTCTTTTATAAGTTTTAATTCGCACCTTAGATCAAGAGGAATGAAAGACCGAAAATCTCCTTATACATGAATATCCATTTTGATCTATTGGAAACAGTCTCTCTATCTCCACAAGGTAGGGGGTAAGGTCTGCAAACACACTACCCTCCCAGCCCCCTGGGCATGTTGTTGTTGCTGTTGTTATCTGTAACTTTGGCCAAATAGACTAGCGTTTTCGCATTTTCTAGATTAAGAACAGAAACCAGTTACTGGGAGAAAACAAAATTTCTCTCTGTTCCTACCTTCACCCTAGTGTGAAAATCAGATGCATATAATCAAAACCTGTTAAATAATGCTTTGGTAGTTTTGATCATGCCAAAAATCATGTAGCAAAAGGGATTGTCCGTAGAAAAATGAACCACACATCCTGTCACTTGCCTGGCAAAGAAAACTTTCTGATTACTAGATTTGGTTCGTCTAAAATCGCATTGCTGTATCCATGGGGACAAAGAAAAAGATTCTTTATCCCACTTGTTTCACACGTGCGACCCAACCCCGTCCATATCACCCTTTTTAGAGGGGAAACAGATGCATAATGTTAGTGTGTGAAAGCCTAAAACTGAATAAAACACTATTCAAGTGGAAGAGGTTATCACATCGACAAGTTGTGATAACATCAAGAGTTGCACATGGAAAAAAAAAGGTGTACGAACCTGAAGTGTATCAGGCATCTTCACCCTTTTTCCATTGACTATATTGCACAGGTACATGACACCAGCATTTGCAAAGTCCTGTTATTAACCATGAGAATCATGCTTAGCACAAATTACCTGAATGGCACATTGCAAATAGGCAGAGGCTACAAACCCCAGATGATCGAATGATCAGAAACTTTTTTTCCCTTAGTATTTAATAGGTAAATAAACAAAATTAGTAGCTGAGAAAAAAGGCTGAAATGACTTCTTTTTTCAGTTTACCTGTTTGCCTTCTAAGGAAACTAACTTGCCATCCTGCATATCCAGATACAGTTAAAGACGAGATCAGTGTACTAAAAAGTAGATACAACAAAATTGACCAAAAATGACGTAGAGAATCCAAGGTAGCTTGGCCACTGCCTGTCTACAAAAGCATCTGAACGATAATTTCGACAAGAGAACACAAGATATAAGAAAGCATAACATACCAGACCAGAAACCATTCTCTGTAATTCATCCAAATCACAACCAATTTGAGACAGATCACCACGCACATCATTAACCTGTTGCAAAACAGGATTTGACCTGATTATGACAGCTATACTGCATAGTTATAGTATAAGCAGGAAAGTACAAATTTAAGGATTATGACAGTGGATCAGAGAAAACAAACCCCAAACATAAATAAAGACAAAGAGGTGTTAGAATAGATTTGCACCTCATTCCTTAGTAGTTTTGACATCTCCATTTGATCATCCAATTTCCCATCGACATTCTGAATTCTCTGCGTCAAATGTTTCTTTGTTGCCTGATCAAGAGGAGAAACAGAATAATGAAGAAGGCATCATGGAGATACCAGACATAGGTAGACACAAATAACCCCACATCACATAAAAACATCTTCATAAAGTGTCTGTTTGCGCAAATTCTTGATAGGAATCACAACAAAATTATGGTTCAAGAAAAAATCATACGGTTGTCTAATAGCAGACTTCTGACGCAGTTTCAATTCTGTGGAGAAAAGTAATCAGGTCCTAAACAACCAACTAACACTGACATGAAAATTTGATTTTCTTCCTCAAACTTTCCCCCTCTTCTTATGATTTGTGAAATTATGGCACTTTTTCTCTTTTTTTCATGAGAAAGAAATTATGGCACACTTGTATCGTGTCTTAAAAAACTCTTTAATTTTTTAATTTTTGATAAAAAGGTGCTATTCAAAAGAAAATGTAAAGAACCAATAGTGGTAGAGAACCCCAAATTATTTAATACTGGAAGTTTGGAATGCAACAGATCCAAATGGAGCAAAGTGGATAATTAGGATTCATATGGCTAACCCCAATTAACTTGGGACCAAGGTGTAGTAGTTGTTGTTGATCATAAATTGGTAAACTCAAAGCTAATATTTGCTTTAACAGTTAAAGTAAATAACAGGAGGCTAAAATGGGTAAAAGAATAGGAAAGTGCAGCATAGCAGAAAGACTTTTTCAGACAATCGCTCTTCAAGCTAGTTATAATACCAAACTGGGGACCTTTTGAGGTTTTATACTTTTTTTGTAATGAGAGACCACAGTTACCACGATTAGCTAATCCTCTAGCATATCATGAATTTCATCCCACTGTTCTGGAAATAATACAAAAAATTTTGGTAGATCAAGTGTGGCAATACAAATTATTGTCCTTATATTTCACAACCCGGTAGCAACTTTCATGTCTAAAATCTAAATCCAATTCAACTGTAATTAATGCGACTTCGATAATTTTTTTACTAGCTGCTATCTTAATTCTTAAGTCTTTAGCTGACCCCAACTTGTTCGGGACCGAGGCGTAGTTGTTCTTGTTGCTATCTTAAGTCTTTAAAATTCTCTTTTACTTGAGAATAAATTTTAATCAAGGATTTTCAATGTTGACATCTAATCGAAAGAAGTCTTACCCTGGCGAATTATGTTTTAGGTTAGGTAATGAATAACTCATTTTTATTTCATAAACTGAACTGGACTACAATTAGGTACATATTGATAAAGCAATTGAGTTGCTCTAGGGAGGTTTGGGTTTTATTAACAGTATAAAAATACATGTAAAGATCTACGCTCTTACGAGACCCAACAAGAAACATATATCAAACCCAAATACCCAACTCTTTCTCAGGCTGTTTAAATAACTGCTTTCTTTTTATAAAATAATATTACTAGGGGGGAGGGGGGAGGGGATAATCAGAATTGAACCCACACATCGTGTTGAGACTCTCACTGGTACCACCACAGTACCACACTACAAATCTTGGTAGTAATGTACACTCAGAGAATACAAACACATTCACCTGACATGGGAAATATTTCTGGCCTATTACCAAGAGGGCTGGGGAGGTTGGGGCAAATTCATTAATAGCACACTATTGTTGACACAAGCTGCAACCAATCATCAAGCTTCACATGTTTAACAGAAACACCGCAATTATATATGCAAAAAATTGCATAATACTAGTGTGCTAGTTAGGCACATGGGAGTGCCAAGATCGCAGAGAAGGAATTAAGAGCAGAGGTAGTTTGCAAGAGATGATACTTACAGCAAGCGCCTCAGAAACATGCTCCAAGTGCTTTGTCAAATTTGAAACGGCACTTGTCATATTCTTTTTGGTAACATACATAAGGTCAGAGAATGATAAACCCTGCAAGAATTACACGAAAAGTTGAAAATATGTTTTCGTTTTTTAAATACTAGGGATATCGATCATTGTTAACCGTAACAAGTATGCAATGGTCATCTAAAGCTAGAGGCAGAAAAGCTTGGCCTTTGGTTGAGGGCTTGTTTCTTCCCCCCATTTTGACCCCTAATATTCTGTAGAAGGGCCGGTACCTAAGCTGAGGACCAACTTCAAGCTGACAAGCCACCTAGACACACATGAGCATGTTACTCTCACTCATCCGTTTTATTTTACTTTTTTTTTTTGAGAAAGTCCTTCTCGCTCATGCATTTTAATTTCATCTGTCATGCTACACATACCTCTAGTACACCTTAGTATAATGAATCACCCAGACTTCCTTCGAGTAATCTCCACACTAATAGAAGCAGTAACAAGAGAGAGGGTATTACTTAAATAGAGAATCTAAGAAACAATTTATTTTACCTTCCACCACATATATCCATAACCCAACGCCCCTACTGCAGCAGTTGGCATGATAAGAGATGTCAAGTTACCTGAGACACAGAAGGCGACAAAGGGTGTAAGGACACATTGGCTGATAGAAAACAACTTCTACATAATCAAAGGAAAGATAAAGCAAAACATAGCATGAAACTCTTCAGTCAAGAATGGTGGAAGATACCAGAAGAATTTCCATTAAGAACAGTAATTGATCGTGCAGAAGCCAATTGTCGAACCTCCATTGCCAGCCTACGAACCTACAAAGAGAAAGCAATAAACATAAGTTGCATTGTAACATAGAGATATTTCATAATTTAATTTATTATGTGTTGGTTGATACACAACAGAATCAGGGGTTGATAATTCTGTTCTCCTGTCTAATAATAATAATAATAAAGGGGCATGTGATGCAAAGTATGTCTGTGAAAGACAACAAACTCAATTAGAGAGGTGGATTGGATGACGGACTAGCTCTCATTTTCTTTATTTTTCCTTTTTTTTAAAAAAAAAAAAAGAAATCAGAGAAATCTGCAATTCCAAATTTGAAACTAAGTAGATAATAAGCCTGCTCCTCAATCCTTCTCCACTTAAATTAATACCAGACTTGGTTCAAGTGTTCAACCGGCAAGATCCAAACTTGTGACCCGCGTCGTACCACCTTTGCCATTGAATGAAATCCCGGGGGCATGGCCAAGCTCATTTTTTCTAAACCTCTTACACACCATCTCAAACAATAGTATTTTTCACGTGATTTTGCTTTCTAAGTCATAAATCCATGTCTAATTTAATCCCATAAATTTAGTCCACATTGATTTTAATAAGTCGTATTGTTTTTTCGGTGCATTCCCATTTGTGTGATGATGGGAAATGTTAAACCCTAACCATCCAATTATTATTTTTATTATCGAGAATTCTTTGATGGCCAGTGATGCACGAACACGTTGGATAATGGGCCCGCCCTTTAACCCTTCTCGACTTAAATATCAGCTTTTGTCTGCAGCAAGATTCGAGTCTATGACTTGTGCCTAACCCACATAACATGTATTGCACTCTTACCACTAGACCAAAGCCCTAAGGGCCCCTATGCCATCTAGGCATTTAAACTGTGAAATTACTCATATATATGCCTCTCGCAACACCCACATTTAATCTGTGAATGCCAATGGACAAATTCTTTTTGGGGGAGTAAATCCAAAAATAGAAATTAAGGGACATATTAACACAATAAATTGGAAAAAGGAACACATCGGGCCTAAGCAACAATCTGTAGACCCCACTGGCATCCACCAAAAATGAAGAAAAAGCAAAAAGAGAGTGAGAGAAGGAAAGGAAAACTCTTGAGTCAATTTGATATAGCTTAATAAACTAAACTCATACAACACTGACACCATTACATCCATCGTTTAACCACTGAATCCATGATCTATACATACCTAAATGCCCTAGAGTTATAAGATGAGAACTTTATTGAGCATTCCAACGTATTTCATGTCCTTGTTAAACGCTCCAACCACTATTAAAGTTGGAAAAATTTCAGAGGGATTTTCTATGGGATTTTTCAAGCAGGGAAAGGAAAATTCATTTGGTCAATTGGAAGATCGTCACAACACCAAAGTCAATTGGAAGATCGTCACAACACCAGAGATCTAAGGGTGTTTTAACAAGGCATTACTTGGAAGTGGTTATGAAGATTTTCAGTAGAGGAGAATGCTCTTTGGAGAGAGGTGATTGCGGAGAAATATGGGGTTCTGGAAGGGGAGTGGAGGACTAAAAATATTACACTTCCCTATGAGCGCGGTTTATGGAGGAATACTTTAGAGGGGTTGTAAGAGTTTTTTTTTGATAAAGTAAGAGATTGTATTAATAAGGCATCCAAAAGATGCAAATTACAAAAGATGACAAAAGTGTACAAGACACTGAATTAGCTCATGTATAATGTTTAAACTAAGATCAGGGAGCTAACAAAATCCAAAATATTGTCCACACTATTAACAGGAGTATGGAAGTTCCCACTAAACAGGCTAACAAAACAGATAGCTTTTAAAGAGTGTAATGGAGTTGGGATTCCATCAAAACATCTGTGGTTCCTTTCATTCCATAAACACCAAAAAATTGCAGCGGGGATCATTCTCCAAATCCTCTTGATGGCTTTATCAACTCTCCAAAAAATCCATATGCATCTTTGATGTGCAAAGGCATCACCCATGCCAAGCCAAAAATAGAGTAGAAGAAATTCCAGATGTCATCTGCTATTGGGCAATGAAGAAACAAATGGTTGACACTCTCTGAATTTTGCTAGCATAGATAGCATCTGTTAGCTAGTACAATACCTCTTCTTCTTAGGTTATCTTGTGTTAAGCAAGCTTCTCTGAGAGCTAACCATGTGAAGCAAGATACTTTGAGTGGTTGTCTAGTCCTCCAGACATGTTTCCAAGGCCAATCCTCAAGCATCCCATTCTGTGAACATAGGAGGTTATAGCTGGCCTTGACTGTGTACTTTCCTCCTGTTGGGTTGCCCCAGATGAGTCTGTCAGGTTGATGCTCTTCAATTTTGCATTCTTCCAATGTGGATAATAGTATAAGCAGATCATTAATTTCCCAGTCTTGGAGGTTTCTTCTGAATAGAGGATTCCAAGTGTTCCCCTCCCTGTTGTGAGCAACCAACGAATTCTGACGACTAGCTATCTGATACAACTCAGGATATGATTATCTCAGTGTTGTGTTACCAATCCATCTGTCCTCCCAGAATTTTACATGAGAATCATTGCCAACTCTGTATGTTATTTCCTGGGGAAAATCAGTATGAAGAGACCTGATATGTTTCCATAGTCCCACCCCATGTGGGGCATTGTTTTCTTTGGTGCACCACTGGTGTTGAGCTCCATGCTTTGCCGTATCAATAAGCTGGTTCAGGCTGCCCATACCTCCATAGCCACTTCATTAACATGCTTTTGTTATGGAGTCCATGAACATAGGAGGTTATAGCTGGTCTTGACTGTGTACTTTCCTCCTGTTGAGTTGCCCCAGATAAGTCTGTCAGGTTGATGCTCTTCAATTTTGCATTCTTCCAATGTGGATAATAGTAGAAGCAGATCATTAATTTCCCAGTCTTGGAGGTTTCTTCTGAATAGAGTATTCCAAGTGTTCCCCTCCCTGTTGTGAGCAACCAACGAATTCTGATGACTAGCTATCTGATACAACCCAGGATATGATTATCTCAGTGTTGTGTTACCAATCCATCTGTCCTCCCAGAATTTTACATGAGAGCCATTGCCAACTCTGTATGTTATTTCCCGGAGAAAATCAGTATGAAGAGACATGATATGTTTCCATAGTCCCACCCCATGTGGGGCATTGTTTTCTTTGGTGCACCACTGGTGTAGAGCTCCATGCTTTGACGTAATGACCTCCTTCCAATAAGCTGGTTCAGGCTGCCCATAACCTCCATAGCCACTTTATTAACATGCTTTTGTTATGGAGCTTTAGGTTCTTGAGTCCTATTCCCCCATCAGATTTAGGCTGAATAACTTTGGCCCATTTCACCAAAGGGAATTTGTGAGTTGTGTTGTTGCCCTCCCATAGAAACCTCCTTCTCAATCTGTCTAGCTGTTTCAGAACTAAGCTTGGCATAGGGTATAAGGACATATATTAAGTAGGGACGCTGTCAAGAACACTGCTAATTAAAGTGAGTCTGCCACCCATTGAGAGATACTGCATTTGCCAAGTTGCGAGTCTCTTTTCCACTTTTTCTACAACATCACTCCATACCCCGATTGATTTGTATTTAGCATCCAAAGGTAAACCTAGGTATGTAGTGGGGGAGAGATCCTATTTTACAACACAAGATCTCTGCCAATTCTTCTAGATTGGAGACTTCATTGACCAGGTATATGGTGCTTTTAAGCATGTTGATGTGTAATCCAGAAATGGCTTCAAAGATGAGCAAAGTGAGATTGAGATAAGATACTTGGAGTCTCTCTGCTCCACAAAAGATCAGTGTGTTATCTGCATATAGCAAATGGGAAACAGTGACTGAATTAGCTAGATTTCTGCCCACTTGAAACCCCTGTACCAATTCATCTCCTTGGCTTTGACCAGCATTTGTGTAAGGCCCTCCATGGCCAGTAAAAAGAGGAATGGAGAAAGAGGAACTCCTTGCCTGAGGCCCTTTTGTGGGGAGAAAAAACCTACCGGACTCCTATTCACCAGCATAGAATACTTCATTGAAGAAATGTTGAAATAAATCCACCTAATCCATCTGTCACCAAATCCCATCATCTTCAACATGTTGATAAGGTATGACCAGTTTAATTGATCAAAAGCCATCTCAATATCAAGTTTGCACAGTAAGCCAGTTTCCCCATTTTTGATTCTCCAATCCAAAACTTCATTTGCAATCAAGGATGCATCTGTGATTTGCCTATTTTTGATGAAGGCACTTTGTTGACCAGAGACCATCCCAATAACTCTTTTCATTCTTTCGGGAAGGATCTTCGCCACCAATTTATAGACACTGTCTATTAGACTAATTGGTCCGAAATCCTTAAACTCAATTGCACCTTTCTTCTTTGGGATGAGTGCTAGGAATGAAGCATTACAAGATCTAACCATATGATCATGTTGGTGGTAATGGTTAAGGGCTGCCATGAAGTCTGACTTGAGAACCTCCCAGCATTTTTGGAAAAATGCCATGGTGTAACCATTAGGGCCTGGTGCTTTGTATGGGGCACAGGAATTTAAGGCTGCAAGGACCTCTGGTTCCTCAAAAGGAGATTCCAGGTCCTCTCTATCATTTGAGCTGAGTGTGTGTAACCCTGTAAATTCTACTGAAGGTCTCCATGTTTCCTTCTCTGATAGTAGCTCAGAATTTCCTCCTTGATCAATCCTTTATCTTCAATTATCTCTTTTCCCACTTTGAGTCCATCAATACAGTTACCCCTTCTTCTTGAGTTTTCCATTTTTTGAAAGTACTTTGTGTTCCTGTCTCCTTCCTTCAGCCATAGACACCTGGACTTTTGCCTCCCGGAGGTTTCCTCAGCAATTGCCAACTGTTCAAGTTCCAATTTCAAGTTGAATGATTTCATCTTTTCCTCTGGTGTTTGAACTCTATGTTCTGCTATTTGCTCTAGTAATTGCAATTAGCAAGAGCTTTGTTCCTTTTGGTTTCCATGTTACCGAAGACTTCTTTGTTCCATCTAGTAAGATCCTTCTTTAAGCTCCTTAGTTTCTGGATAAGGATGAAATCTTGGTTGCCAGTTAATAAGATTGCCACCATTCCTT